TTCGGGGGTCATTAATACAGTGGTTGGCGTTACATCAAGCAGAAGGTTTTATTCGAACATGGTCCAGGGATTATAATTGGAGAATTTGGTTGACATTCGAAATTCCGACCGTAGCTGTGTTGGCTGAAACATATTTTCCTGAAGGTTCTGCCATGCCAGGCAGGTCGATTAGAGAACGATGAGACTAAAAGCAGCTACTCAAGGTCTGAGGGCGAAGTCGTACAGCTGACTGTAGAGGGGTGTGACAGCAGTAAGGTGTTTCCCTCGGACAACCAGCATCTTCAGCAATGCCGCCTTCTGTTGGGATAGCCAATCGAGAAGAAAGCCATGCACATTGTGGATTGATGAACTTATCGATTAAATGCTTAAATATTTCAGGGGCAGTCGATTGATGAACTATTGGATTTAATATTCAAATATTTAAACCACAATATCGATTATATTTATAATTGTATAAATACGCATGTTTGATCGTATATTTTTCATTCTGTTAATAGGTGTTCTCCAACGTCTTCCGTCTTCATATTTTTGAACGGTGGGAGTCTAACGTTCGGGGGTCATTAATACAGTGGTTGGCGTTACATCAAGCAGAAGGTTTTATTCGAACATGGTCCAGGGATTATAATTGGAGAATTTGGTTGACATTCGAAATTCCGACCGTAGCTGTGTTGGCTGAAACATATTTTCCTGAAGGTTCTGCCATGCCAGGCAGGTCGATTAGAGAACGATGAGACTAAAAGCAGCTACTCAAGGTCTGAGGGCGAAGTCGTACAGCTGACTGTAGAGGGGTGTGACAGCAGTAAGGTGTTTCCCTCGGACAACCAGCATCTTCAGCAATGCCGCCTTCTGTTGGGATAGCCAATCGAGAAGAAAGCCATGCACATTGTGGATTGATGAACTTATCGATTAAATGCTTAAATATTTCAGGGGCAGTCGATTGATGAACTATTGGATTTAATATTCAAATATTTAAACGACAATATCGATTATATTTATAATTGTATAAATACGCATGTTTGATCGTATATTTTTCATTCTGTTAATAGGTGTTCTCCAACGTCTTCCGTCTTCATATTTTTGAACGGTGGGAGTCTAACGTTCGGGGGTCATTAATACAGTGGTTGGCGTTACATCAAGCAGAAGGTTTTATTCGAACATGGTCCAGGGATTATAATTGGAGAATTTGGTTGACATTCGAAATTCCGACCGTAGCTGTGTTGGCTGAAACATATTTTCCTGAAGGTTCTGCCATGCCAGGCAGGTCGATTAGAGAACGATGAGACTAAAAGCAGCTACTCAAGGTCTGAGGGCGAAGTCGTACAGCTGACTGTAGAGGGGTGTGACAGCAGTAAGGTGTTTCCCTCAGACAACCAGCATCTTCAGCAATGCTGCCTTCTCACAAGGAAGGAAGTGGTTGGAAGAAGTTGACCCAAAAAATGTCACACCTCACCTTACCTCACGGATTTCCATCTCCGGCGGTAAGGGTGCCTACTAGGGTCTTTCAAGAGCGGAGCTAGTAATCAAAAAGCCATTCATAAATAGGCCGTGCGTGATCGGCCTCGTGCAGTTGTCCCTTGGGCTCTGCGGTCACGCACCCAGGTCTCTAAGACCAACGCTAATATACCTTGCTTTTCAGGGCAGCCGGAAAGTGACAACCGCCTTCATACACGTAACAGCACAGGAGACCGAATTGGTCGAAGTCAGATCCTTCCTACACCCACACATGCTACATGTTGAAGCTTTTAATGTACTGACACTGTGTCAAATAGGGCAACAGGCTTCCTTAGCTAGGACTTTAGAATCTCGCGCCATCGATGTATGCTGAGTCTCGGAAACGCACATACAGGATACTAACGAAACTATTAATCTGATTTCACCTTGTAAATATAAAGAAGCAACTCGATTAACACTTCGTGTATCCGGAAGCCCTGATGCTGCTTTTAGAGGTCTTGCTGGTATAGGTAAAGCATTGAGTTACAGAGCTGGACAATCTCTCTTAGACTGGATTCCAGTAGATAGTCGCCTGTGCGCTGTCCGACTGAACGGGACAGTTAGGACTAGTAAAGATAGGGACAATCGCCGTTGCCTCTTCCTCATATCAGCTTATGCCCCCACCGAATGCAGTTCAAACGAGGTGAAAGATGAGTTTTACAGAAAGCTTTCGGACCTCCTCCAAAAAGTTAGGAACTCTGATCTAGTAATAATGGCTGGTGACTTTAATGCACAAGTAGGTAGACTAAGTGAAAAGGAAAGACACCTAGGTGGATGTTACGGTCTCGCGGCTCAAAGAACAGACAATGGCGACCGTCTGTTGCAACTGTGCTCAGATAACCAACTATTTCTAGGAAACACTAATTTTAAGCATAAGGAAAAACACCTTTTGACCTGGCGACCCCCGAAGTCGTCTCAACGTTGGACACAACTAGATCATATCGCCATCAGCCACCGATGGAGGGGTTCGATAGAAGACTGTCGCTCGTTCTGGGGCACATGTTTAGATTCAGATCATGCCCTAGTGCGAGCACGTATTTGTTTGAGGCTTGCTGGACGTAGGAAAGACACCGTAAGGAAGCCTCTTAGGGGTTTACTTGATGATAATCAAGCTAAGAAAATATTTCATGAGGAACTAGAAAAACAGTTAGGCGGCCATGCAAGTGATTCCCATCCTGAAGCAGGTTGGAATCATATCAAGAAGGCTGTGGAAACAGCAATGGTATCTGCTAGCAAGGTAAACCATAAGGCTAGGATGAAGCCGTGGATCTCAGTCGCATCCACCGAACTGTTGGATGCTCGAAAACGCATCCCATCTGACTCTGAGCATGATAAAGAGCGTAGTCAGCTTAGGCGCAGACTTATAAAAAGTCTGCGTAACGACCGCGAACAGTGGTGGGTGGCGAAAGCAAAAGCGATGGAAAAGGCAGCGGCGATAGGCAATACTAGACAACTTTTCCGCCTTATTAAAGAACCTGGTATTAAGAACCCGAATGTGAGTGAGACTATTTCGGAATAGGATGGGATTATTATCCATTCTCAATCCAGGAGACTGGATCGATGGGCAGAACACTTAAGGGATCAGTTCAACTGGCCACGAGCCACTCTTCGGTTACCCACGATCTCCAGTCATCCTGAATGGCAAATCGACCTAAGTCCCCCTAGTCTTTATGAAGATGAGAATGCGTTAGGAAATCTGAAGCGAGGGCGAGCTGAAGGTCCTGATAGACTAACCCGAGATATTTAAGGATGGTGGTTCAGTTTTAGCAGCTAGGTTGACTGACATATTAGGTGGAATCTGGGAACTGGACGTAATCCCATCCGACTGGTCTCAATCACTGATTGTTCCAGCCTACAAAACAGGGCAATCACAGGGGAATAAGTCTAACATAAATAGTATCTAAAATATTGGCCTCAATAATACTTTGACGCTTAACGAAAGCTCGTGAAGAGCAGAATAGAGAAAACCAGGCTGGTTTTCAACCTGGACGTGGCTTTATAGACCACATTTTCACACTACGACAGGTCCTGGAACACACATTTAGGCGTCCAATGATAGTGAGGTTCTGTGGCAGTATCTGTCATTAAAAGGCGTACCAAAGAAGTACATTAATCTTATAGAGGCTGTCTACTCGAACACTACTGGTCATGTGAGAGCTTATGGCGAACTGTCATCAGAATTAGTTACTTCAAGTGGTGTCCATCAGGGCAGCCCACTTCCTCCACTCTCGTTTAAATTTGACATAGAAATACTTTTAGAGTTAACATTATCTTCGTCTGACTTTTCAGGGGTGGAACTTTGACCAGGAGGCACGCTTGTTGACTTAAGGTATGCCGATGACCTAGTTTTATTTGATGAAGACGATGACAAAATACAGTGTCTCCTGACTACCCTAAGGAATAATGCAAGCATCTTTGGGATGCGGTTTTCCCCCTCGAAATCCAAAATGTTTGGGTTTCATCGGTACCTGAACTAGTAATAGGGAGTGAAGCAGTCGAGCGTGTTGACCACAAGCATAGTTCGAATATCGTGGGACAGACGAGTAGGCAATGCTGTTGTTAGGAAACGGGCGCTAGATAGGGATGGTAAATCAAGAGATGAAGTAGTAAAACTTTATCAGTTGATGTGGTTGGGACATGTGTTGCGTATGCCGACTGCCTCGTCGAGCTATGTTTTGCGATATAGAAATATCTTGGACGAAAGCTAGGGTCGGCCAAACCAAAACAAGGCACAAATCCATTAAGTAACTGACAACTGGATTGAGTCATGTCGGTAAATGTAGACTACATGGTTGAGGCACGTCAGATGATAGTAATCTATGGTTAGAGAACTTGAATGACATAGCTCAAAATCGTTTGCAATGGTGCAGGTGCATTCATTCTTTGTGTTCTCTCAAATCGTAACCTTCTGAACTTCTCATCACCTTTATATTTTGCTTAATTCACTAGATTCTACTTCTTGAATGATATCTTCGAACCCTAAAATTTCCGATTACTGCTGCCACTTTTACTTCTCTTTGTATGGGATTTGAAGTGACAATTGCATCTCTGTGCTAATGTGGTAAGGCGACCTGAACTTATGTATTTACATACGAAGTTCTATGTTGTTGTTGACTGACTGACTGGCTGCACTTTGAAACTATTTGCTACGGGATTTTCTATAGGTGTCTACGTTTAAAAATTAGTCTTTAAAAAGTAAACACCATTTGATAGAATGTCGATGGAACCCCGAAACAAAGTGATTTTATGGGTGATTGGGACTATCACCAACAAGATAAATTTTCCCTATCATCAGAAAAGATTAAAAGCTAATGTAGTAGAAGTTATCGGACTCTTAATTGTTGTCAATCCCTTGAAAAGAGTACTAAAGCGAAAGAAGTCACGAACTATCAGACGAAAAACGACCTGGCAGTTGGTACAAATTTGAGTACAATGAATGTCTATGTTGAGTTTATGTCCAATAACCCTGAGAACATTTAAAAAGATAATAAGTTAGGAGACACACTAACCTGAAATTTAAGAGGAGACTCAATTTGGCTGAACTGACGAGGACCGTTTTCTAAATTATACACAAATATTTGTCGACCTGCAGTACCGACAAGGGCGAGTGGATAATGGACATCAGCACAATAGATCCTTTCCGGCAAATCCAAGTTTAAAATAGGCTGAGGTTGTCTTGTATCCCAGAACCTGTAAAGAGAGTAACTGTCTTACGGAAACTATCTAAAAGTAACAAATATATGATTTTAAGGGTCGAAATTAGTAAATCAACCTCAGAGACTTCTAACATGAAAGTGGTAAGATTTCATTTTGCAGCTTATTACTTTTCAGATGTTCACACAAAGCACATCGTATTAAGCATACCAGTATCGATTTCCATAAATTGATTGGTAAAAGAAAAGCTTTCTGACAGAAATATGGTAGGACATTCACAAAACGATAAAAACACTGAAAGGTAGTCATGAAATCAATATTACATAGAAGATAGTAAGCTCTATACAAAAATATTGTTGTTACTGAAATATGGCTATTCCTTACGGAAAATGCTGTTTTTTCCTCTACAGAATATCTCAACACTGTAAATCTATTAATTACAAGCCTATAAACTGACAAACACTAAAACTAGCTGACAGGGCCACACTGAATCTTGAGTAACTCTAATTACTTCAAAAAGCAGCTTACGTACAGGTGTCAGTCTTACCGTAAAGTGTACTGAAAATTCATACTCTTATTAGAGTAAATCGAGAAAATTTGTTGTTACATAGCTACAGAGCGTAAACGTCCGTTTTTCAAATACGGAGATGGCAAAAAAACAGGTTCCTAGACCTCCTCTCATGACTTCTAAAATATGATGACAGTCAACGACTGTCAGAATAATTAGTTATTTTAAACTTTCCAGAAAATATATGTAGAGAGGTTTGATGATAACCTCATAAAGTTCTACGTTGTAACTGACCGATTGTTGTAGAAGCCACCGGGTTAAGTTAAGTGGGAACAAAGGCATCAAGATGTGACAACTTACTCTTACTGTTTAGAAACCATAGTTTACTGTCGCATATTCTAGACTTGGAAGTGTAAGTAACCTAGTCAGTCAGTCAGTTGCAACGTAGAACTTCGTACGTATGTACATCAGTTCATGTTGCCATACCACATTATTAGCACAGAGACGCAAATGTCAAATCAAATCCCATAGTGATAAAGATAGTAGAGGTATTAATGTTAATAAAGAAGACTAGGGTTTAAGATATTATTCAAAAAATATAATTCAGTGAGATAAGGTTAGAAAGACAAAGGTAGAGGTGCTGACGAATCCAGAAGATTAGGATTTGAGAGAGCTCAAAGAGTGGATGCACCTGCGCCATTGCAAACGATTTTGAGCCATGTCGTTCAAGGTCTCTAACCATTGATGATTTTCGTCTCGCGGACCCCAACCAGGTAGTCTACATCTACCAACATGACTCAGTACACTTGTCAGTGACTTCATGGATTTGTGCCATGTTTTGGTTTGGCCGCCCCTAGCTTTCTTCCAACCTACTCCTACACTACAAAACATAGCTCGTCGAGGCAGTCGGTGGTTAGGCATACGTAACACATGTCCCAACCACCTCAACTGATGAAGTTTCACCACTTCATCTATTGATCTGCCATCCTTACCTAGTACTCGTTTCCTAACGACAGCATTGCTTACTCGGCTGCCCCACGATATACGAGCAATGCTTCGAAGACACCTATGGTCGAAAACCAGTAACCTACGAATATCTTCTACTCTCACTGGCCATGTTTCACAGCCATATAAGAGAACGGAACGAACTGCTGCGCAGTACACCCGCCCTTTGGTTAGCGAACGGATATCACGCCTATGCCATAAGTGACGCAGGCTGGCAAAAGCCAATCGAGCCTTCTGTATCCGAGCTGAGATTTCGTCAGTTACCAGACCGTCAGCACTGATGAGACTCACAAGATAAGTGAAGTGATCAACACGCTCGACTACTTCACTCCCTATCACTAGTTCAGGTGCTGATGCAACCCAGTCTTGAAGCAACATTTTGCATTTCGAGGGGGAAAACCGCATCCCGAACATGCTTGCATTGTTGCTTATGGTAGTCAGAAGACTCTGCATTTTGTCAGCGTCTTCACCGAATAAAACTATGTCATCGGCATATTCTTGATCAGTAAGCGACTTTCCTGGTAGAAGGTCAACCCCTGAAAAATCTGACGAGCTTAATGTTAACTCTAAGAGGATGTCTACGACAAAGTTAAACAAGAATAGAGAGAGTGGACAGCCCTGACGGACACCACTTGATGTAGAGAATTCAGATGACACTTCGCCATATGCTCTCACCCGACCAGTGGTGTTTGAGTAGAGTGCTTGTATAAGGTTAATGTACTTCTTTGGTACACCTTTCAATGACAGACACTGCCACAGAACCTCACGATCCACTGAGTCGAATGCCGCCTTAAGGTCCAGGAACACGACTATTGTCGGACGTCTAAATGTGTGTCTGTGTTCCAGGACCTGTCGTAGTGTGAAGATGTGGTCTATACAACCACATCCAGGTCCTAAACCAGCCTGGTTTTCTCGAGTCTGCTCTTCACGAGCTCTAGTTAGACGTCTAAGTATAATCGAGGCTAACAATTTAGAAATTATATTAGTTAAACTTATTCCCCTGTGATTGTCACAAGAGGACTTCTGTCCTTACTTGTAGATTGGGACAATTAGCGACTGAGACCAGTCAGATGGGATTACGTCCAGTTCCCAGATTCTACCTAGGATCTCGGTCAGTCTAACCGTTAAAACTGGACCACCATCCTTAAACATCTCAGGGGTAAGCCTATCGGGACCTGCCGCTCTACCTCCCCTTAGATTTCCTATAGCTTTCTCAACTTCATGTAAACTGGGAGGACTTAAATCGATTTGCCATTCAGGATGACTGGAGATCGTGGGCAACCGAAGTGTGGCTGAAGGCCAGTTGAACTGATCCCTAAAGTGTTCTGCCCATCGGTCCAGCCTCCTAGATTGAGAATGGATAATAAGACCATCCTTTTCCGAGATAGTCTCACTTACACTATGATTCCTAATACCAGTTTCCTTGATAAGTCGGAAAAGTTGTCTAGTGTTGCCTATCACCGCTGCCTTTTCCATCGCTTTTGCTTTCGCCACCCACCACTGTTCGCGGTCGTTACGTAGGCTTTTCATAAGTCTGCGCCTAAGCTGACTACGCTCTTCATCATGTTCAGAGTCGGGTGGGATGCGTTTTCGAGCATCCATCAGTTCGGTGGATGCGACTGAAATCCACTGCTTCATCCTAGCCTTGTGGTTTACCTTCCTAGCAGATACCATTGCTGTTTCCACAGCCTTCTTGATATGATTCCAACCTGCTTCAGGATGGGAATCACTTGCATGGCCGCCTAACTGTTTTTCTAGTTCCTCATGAAATATTTTCTTAGCTTGATTATCATCAAGTAAACCCCTAAGAGGCTTCCTTACGGTGTCTTTCCTACGTCCAGCAAGCCTCAAACAAATACGTGCTCGCACTAGGGCATGATCTGAATCTAAACATGTGCCCCAGAACGAGCGACAGTCTTCTATCGAACCCCTCCATCGGTGGCTGATGGCGATATGATCTAGTTGTGTCCAACGTTGAGACGACTTCGGGGGTCGCCAGGTCAAAAGGTGTTTTTCCTTATGCTTAAAATTAGTGTTTCCTAGAAATAGTTGGTTATCTGAGCACAGTTGCAACAGACGGTCGCCATTGTCTGTTCTTTGAGCCGCGAGACCGTAACATCCACCTAGGTGTCTTTCATTTTCACTTAGTCTACCTACTTGTGCATTAAAGTCACCAGCCATTATAACTATATCAGAGCGCTTAACTTTTTGCAGGAGGTCCGAAAGCTTTCTGTAAAACTCATCTTTTACATCATCTGGGCTGCAGTCAGTGGGGGCGTAGGCTGATATGACGAAGAGGCAACGGCGAGTGTCCCTATCTTTCCGAGTCCTTACTGTCCCGTTCAGTCGGACGGCGCACAAGCGACTATCTACAGGGATCCAATCAAGGAGAGATTGTTCTGCCCTACGACTCAATGCTATACCTACACCGGCGAGGCCCCTAGAAGCAGCATCAGGGCTACCGGATACACGAAGGGTAAATCGAGCTGCTTCTTTATTTTGACAAGGTGGAATCAGGTTAATGACTTTACTAGGATCCTGTATGCGCGTTTCCGAGACGCAGCACACATCGATGGAACGAGATTCTAAAGTCCTAGCTAATGATGCCTTTTGCCCTATTCGACACAAAGTTTGTACATTGAATGCTCCAACATGTAGTTTGGAACGGGGTTTAAGGAGACCAGGAACGACGTTTCGCAAACTCGCATCGTTTGCATTAGCTGTGCACTGTGATAAATGAATGTGAGAAGAGTTAGTCGTGGAGATAAGAGAGGTACTAGGGGGTGTAGGAAGGATTTGATTTTGACCAATTTGGTCTCGTGTGCTGTTGCGGGTATGAGGGCGGTTATCACTTCCCTGCTGCCCACACCGTGGAAGGTTGTTTCTTGACGAACCTGAAAAGGAAGATGGATTAGTGTTGGTGCGTGACCGCAGATCCCAAGGGACAACTGCTTGAGGCCGGTCACGCACGGCCTTTTTATGAAACGTTGTTTGAGGATTAGCTCCGTTCTTAAAGGCCCTTAGTGGGCACCCTTACCCAAGGAGACGGAAATCCGTGAGTTAGGGGAGGTGTGACAGTTTTAGGGTCGACCTTTTCTAACCCTTCCTTCCTTGTGAGAAGGCAGCATCGCTGCAGATGCTGGTTGTCCGAGGGAAACACCTTACTGCTATCACACCCCTCTGCAGTTAGCAGTACGACTTCGCCCTCAGACCTTGAGTAGCTGCTTTTAGTCTCATCGTTCTCCAATCGACCTGTCTGGCATGGTAGGACCTGCAGGAACATGTGTTCCAGCCAGTATAGCTCGGTTGGGTCATGACGATAGGCAAGCCCGACCACCACGTCAAGGTAGCAGCTTCGGTCGGGGTAAGTAACCTAAACAATGATTGGAACCAGAAAATACTACCGATATGCTGGGTTAAGTGTACAAAATATTTATACATTAACTAGACTTCTATTTTTTTACTCACCAGATAGGTGTAGTTCACTAGCTTATTCTACTTTAACATAAAACTAATAAATAATTGTAAACATATGGGAGTTACTATCAGCGTTACCAGTAGTGACTGTCTTAAAAAAACTTAGGGAAATATTCGGAACCAGCTATAATCAGTGAAGATAAACCTGAGCTTACCTTAGCCGTTTATCCCATGAACCAGTCATTAGACAAGAATAATTCGGAGCAGTAATGAAGTGAGCAGTTTTAATAGGGGCATCATGAGCACCAACTTGAGTGAAAGTGTTTGAACCAAGATCCCACATTTGCGCAGTTTTATCTGCCGATACACTGAAAAGTTTTGAACCATCCTGACAGGTTACATTTCAATTTTATGAAAGTGTAACTTACGGTACTCCAGCAGGCAGCAAATACAGGTCCTTGGTGCATCTGTTCAGCCTTGGGGATAGTAGAACCATTGCCTTGGACTTCCCAAATTCTTATACGATTATCCCAACTAGTGGCAGCCAAGAAAGTCGTTTGCATGGATTCAGGACTGAAGCGAAGACATGACACTGTATCTCCTGGAGGAGACTGAACTTCAATTGACTTTTGTGTGGCACTCATACTCTTATTTTGTCCCAAACCGACAGAATTAAAGACATTTTGTGTGCCACTGGAGAAGAGTGTCATTTCAGAGAACTTCTCGTAGCGTAGAAGTTATTTCTTGCGCCGGTTTAAAAAAAAAGAGCTGAGGTTCTTTGCAATTACTTTAATGACATATTCAAACATTCTGAAGTGAAAAATTTACTTTACCTCAAATTCTATCCGTATTTTGAAACATTGCTCTATTAGGTCCGCAGTAATTCTAGAAAACCCATAGCTTGAAAATGTTTCTCATATATGTATCCACACCTCGGCGGCAAATATGTATATGAAGGTATTCCTACATTTCGTCTAATAATCACTATGCTAAACCTCACAGTTATAACCACACAAAAGGGATTTTCAAAAGCCCTTTCGAAGTCGCTCCAGAATTTTATCCATGCACAGCACAAATCAAACTATTTACAAGGATGTGATGCGAGGTATGTTGACAGATTAATTTAATGTACAACCAAATGTATTCGGGCATACGAATGAGTTATCGAGGGTTGCAGTATGTCTGGCAACAAACCGACTTCAGAATTTGGCAGTTGTGTCTGGATTTTGTCGACGTCATCAAATAGCTATTTGGTCAGAATTGGAAGTCTCAGTCTGTTATAATAGTATTTATAGGACAAAATCACTGATTTAACAACCGTTTAATGTCTGGAATAACGTCAGTTGTTTGGAAAATGGACACCAATCTAGTTGGCAGAGACTAGTTATTCGTTCTCAAAGGTGTTGTAGTGCACATGTGCCAGGTGTAGAATCTTTTTTGAATGTTTTGTTTTTTGGAAAATCCCTCCATGTATATTTATTTGTGTTATAATATGACTGACTCTTTCTGTTGACATTTTGGTACGCTATTTGATTCCATTTTGAGATTTTATCATTGTATATTGTTATTATTTCTATATCTTGTACTTATATTGAAGTTTTTATGTTTGTTTCTGAACTGTACATATGTTGTTTAAATTTGATATTTAATATGGCTACAGCCATATTTGGATTTGATATCTCAACGTCACGTACTGGAAGCACTTATTCTTCGAGAAACGGATACCCACCGCGGTAAATTGGATTTAGAAGATGTAATATTGTTTGGTAATTGTCTGTATTTCCATTTTATATTAAATAAAGACCGTTTTCTCCCAGAATTATTGTGTTTTGGTATCGGACCTGGGACAGTGCGTACCTATTGGAAACGGAGTGAACTGTTGGGGTAGAAAATTCATTTATACCAGGCTCAACCGTTTAAAAATGTTTCAGGATTCTAACCATGTAGTTTACTTTTTGTTGTAGAACAATCCCATTCATGCGTTGGAGACTCGTGAACTTATATCTAGATGTAGGATTTAATTTTGTCCTACAGATGTAATTCTAAAAACGTAAACGCGAATACCGCCGATGACAGAATCCAGAGTGAAACTATAGTTAACAGAAGACAATTTGGTTTTAAACTATATCTGTTTAGTACATTATCTATTTAGTACAACAAATAAGGAAATTACAATTATCAAGCAGGATGAGCAAACGTACCGGACAGTATAGCGTGTCTTTAGAAAATGAATAAAAAACATGAGTCACATCTATGAAAAATAAAATAATAACATCCTTCAATCGATAGACCATTCACAACAAAGAAAGTTCATAGACCGGTCAGACTAGATGACGTGGTGAGCGCTTAACCAATCTGATTGGTTAGTTATGACATAACTACAATTAGTTATAAAATAACTAACACTCCCCCCGACGCGGTCACCACGTCCAGACCTCGTTGCCGTCGCGCTCGAATAATCGACCTCTTTCAGTAGGCATATGTTTCGTATATCTCGATTGATCTCTACTGTGTCTCTTCAATCGAATCGTTCTGACTCGGCCATCGGGACCATAATCGACTTCTCTAACTATAGCTTCCACCCAAAGATTTCTCAGCAAACTAGTATTGTTTACTAACCGTCTATGTAGGACAAACATTTTTTAAATAGAATTTTAAATGTTCTAGACCCTGAAATTGACAATGGACTATTAGGAAGTTCGATTAGAGATCTTTATTATGATATATTCCTTCAGAAATCTAACAGGCCAGCGATATTGTAATGAGTTATCAAACAGTTCAACCAAAACATCCCAGTTCAGTATCTGCGAATGACGATACAGTGTAGCGGGAAATTTTTATAACTTGTTCAGAGTTTTAAATCAATATGTTATAACACTTGCTCTAAAAAATTCCCAGCTAATTCGTATTGCTTAGTATTCTCTGACCACAATACACTGGACTATTTCCAAAGAATCAAAAAAACAGTGGAACAGAAAAAGATTATATTCCATGTAGCAAGGTACAGCGTTAGTTTCTTTATAGTATTTACATGAGAAGCTCGTGGATTGTATTTCATGTGATCGATTAGATTAGATTCAGCCAATCAGAGTGCAGCTAACAACACGAGAATTTTCTACCCTGTTCTCCAACAGTGGATCAGGCGCTGATTGGATAGGAAATTAGCCAATGAACGTGCAGCAACGTGGTCATGCTTTAATTCCATCTCTGTCCCACTAACACAATACATTCACAATGAATGGTAACCGCAGGAAAAGTATTCTTCTGAAATAATTTACAGATGTCACTCGTTGAAAAAATTTCCTATTCTATCCCGGTATCATTAATATTATCTCCATTAGTTCTATTTGACTTGTAGAACGTGTCCTCCATGAAGGAATCGGAGCTAGTAACAGGATGAGGAGGCAGCACTTTCGTTTGTGAATCTCGAACTCACGTAAAAATTCTTTTAGTTGGAAATGGCTATGGTATTTCTGCACTCCATTTAGCACCGTAGTGCATAATGTAAATTGACTGACTGTAATTTCTATGCGTTTGGTCAATGGTTAGTAACAATTTTTAACATCAATGCCGGACCGTTTTTGTTAATGTAGTGGTATGCTTTTACGGAGAAAATACAATTGCTGAAATATAAACATTTATTATTTTACTTAGATTTTACAATAATTGTTATATTGCATTTCTTTTGTTTATCGGTACTAAAGACTCTCACGCACGCCAAGCATGTTCTTCCTACTGTGCTCTTCCCCTCGCTTGTTGTTATCCACTCATGTACCCTAGCCTCGATATTATTTTGATATCACGGGGCTAACAATCAGTATACTTCTTCATCCAGAATGGTCATTTCTTTGACTTTTGGATTATCGGGATTAACATTAGTAAAATATATTTATTTTGACTTACTATATTGGCTTATTGTCTTCCTAGAATCAGGAAAATATCAAGGTGCAATACATTTCTTTGAGTTAGCTCTGCATCTCTGATGGTTTCATTATGTTTGATCGTTCAGTTTTGGTGACTGTTTGCGCGGTCTCACAAACAAATCCTTTTGGGATAATGACCTGAATGTAAGATACCGATGCTCATAATGGGCTACGTTGATGGATAAATTCGATAAGCAGGTGCTACCGTTTAGTTAAATCACTAACACCAACACACGTTCTTGCTACTACTTGCAGTATTCTAGTAGTATTCTAGTGTTCGAATACACCATTGACAAATAGTCGGCCATATCAGCTGATTTGCTGCAGACACTCACCCAACAGGATCGATAAAACCTGTAATATATTGTACCGTATTCTTTGAAGCCACATTTATCTAAAAACATTTTCAGCAACTTTACATACCTGAAGAACTGTGAAGTTGTTCTACTATGAAGATCGTACCTAGTAGTTAGTAGTTTTCATCCCTAATTAACTGAGATCTGCTTAAACCAAATAAGCTCAGCAACAATTTTTTAATACAAGGCTTCTTCCCGACCTGCTCAATGAGAGTTCCGAAGACGGAAGCTGGTCCAAACGAAATTAACTTTAGTCTGTGTGGATGAAGGACAGCATAAGACCGAACTTCGCGAGCTGAAAAGGTTACTGCGGTTTCAGAGTGTCGAGTTCCTGAGTTATTTCTGTGTAAGCTTGAGTCTATAGCCCAAACATTAGGCTCGTTCGTAGCCATCATTCGTACTCCATACTCCATAAAGCTCAGCACGGTTTTATAAAGGGCAGGTCGTGCGCAACTAATCTTCTGATAGCATGGGACAGTTGGACATTCAACTTCGACAGAAAAATACAGGTGCGCGTATTATTTCTAGAATTTGGAAAAGCATTCGATTCAGTCCCCCGCGCACGCCCGATAGCAACGGTTGAGGAAATTGTCTTCACTGACCCATTCCTATCCTGGCTCAGAACTACTTTGAGAATAGAAAATTTCGTACCACGGTAAATAGAATGCACATGTGTTGGCGGGTCTTAACATCAGGAGTTTAACAGGAGACCATCTTGGATTCACTTCCTAACCCGATATTTATCAACGATCTGTTAGAAAGAGTTAGCTCGCAACGAGCTGGGGATCCATTAGAAGCAAACGAGATTCGACTGAGCTTCAAAGGACTTTACATTCGTTGAAGAATGGGCAGTGAAAAACTGTTTAAAACCAAACCAGTCGAAATGTCACGCCGTGTACACTTATCCCCACCTGACGCGAACCACCTAAACCCTCAAAATAGTTACTCTCTAATGTCTCCTTAGAGCGCGATCTGACTTTATTAACCACTGAAGGCCTCCGCACTAGCTGCAACTATATAGTGGACTCAGCCAAGGCAAATGCAACTCTTCGCTTTATGCGAAGATTGCTTGATGCTATCACCCCACAATCATCCTTAACGTTGTTTAGGACATTTTCACAACCACACCTTGAATTCCACAAAGTCATCGCGCTCCCTCTTCTTAAAAGAGATATAAATTTATTGGATCAAGTGCAGAGACGAACAACAAAATGGGTGATAGGGTTGAAGAAAAAACCTTACGAAGATAGACTCCAGCATTTGGGATTATTCCCCCTGAGTTTCAAGAGAATAAGATGTGATCTGATTATGGCTCACAACATATAAGCACGCCAAACCATCCCAAGGTGAGCATCTTACCGATTCATCAACAATATACCTCCATCGAAGTAATTCTCGAGAAATCGCGCATCGTACTCAGATTCGTATACACTTTTTCTCATTTAGATTCGTTGCAACTTGGAATTCTCTCATAGCTGAGGCAACCACAGCTCCCTCAGTGGATAGCTTTAAGAACACGTACGCACATACGGATTATCGTCTCCCTCGTGGAAAAGCTGTGCCTGATGCATGTCTCGAGGCTTGCCTACTGTTATCTTGCCATCTCCTCTGATCACTAACTTAATTTATCTCGCTGCCATGAAACAAAAGTATTCATTCAATTCACAGGACATACAAACTCACAATCAACTGCCGAAAGACTAGAATTAGACAGTCGAGTGGCTATACTACCATCCTTTGGACTCTACCAAACACCTCAAACCGTACGGAAAGAACAAGAATCGAGCGCAAAGAAATCAGTTGGTTTAAACTAGCTTGTGAATAAGTTATTTGATCATCTCTATGGAAGCTGTTGATGAGCATTTAAAAATCATTCCTCGAGCATTTTAAAGCTGTACGTAGCCGGTGAACGAAAATACCTCAAAATGAATTAATGGTAACGATAATAATAGTTATTATATCAATACAAGTGCGGATATCAGCGAAATCGGAAAAAAGCCATGTGCCAACCAAATAATGCATGTTTAAATTGTAGTTACGATCGTAGGAAAACAATTAAAGTGAGTTGATGATGTATAAAGTAATATGTGTATGAGAAAATAAGGTGTTACTTGTTTACGGGTTAAATATATTCAGGGTTCGAAAACGCATTTGACTGCATCACTCTGATATTCAAGAATCGCGAACTCACTCGAACTGCAAGTCTAAATGAAGGGAATCGACAGTGTGCTTGGTAAATCATCGGTATTTCGAAAAACTTGTGATTTAGATTTTCTAGTTCTTGCTAAAGGATGAGTAACGTTGCGATCATGTATGGATGTGTAACCCAATACCGTCAGGTGGAGTGCGCTCAGAGAAACTTATGAATTAAGCATCAGGGAACAACATAAGCCGTTATTCGAGGGCTTTATTTACTTTTTAGAAGCATATGACGCAATTGACACAATCAGAATTAATTTGTTTTTCTGCACTGAGCGGAGTTATTCAACATAGTGATTTTTATGCATATTTTTGGTCTAGGAAAACAATGTGAATGGAAATGGATGATGCGTTATTGCAAGACCTCTATGTATGGGTCGATAAAATTCCCTTGTCTCGAGTTAAGAAAAACATTGCTCGGGATTTTTCAGACGGTGTTCTAATGGCTGAAGTTATGAAGTATTTTTTCCCAAAATTTGTTGACGTTCATAATTTTCCAACCTGTAACTCTGTCGAATCTAAACGAAAAAACTGGCAACTTTTGAACTGGAAGGTTTTTAAAAAGTTGAATTTTGAGTTGTCAGACGACGTGATTGAAAGTTTGTCTATTGCTAAACCAGGAACTATAGAAAAAGTTTTACTGTTACTAAGAACTAGGATTGAGCGAATGGTCGCGGATGATAAAGGTAAGCTGTATGATTATCAACCTGAGGCTGATCGCTATCCATATACTCATGGAAACCGAGAGCGTTCGAAATCTCCTTTGCATAAATCCCGAAACAAAAGAATGGGAAATTCTCAGTTCCTCCCTGGAATTCGCTCACCTTCTTTAGATTTTCTTGCCAGATATCCCGGAGATGCAGCTGTTGCACGTGGATTTAGTCCAAATAAGTACATAAATGGGAATAATCAATTCTCGAAGTGTACATTAACAAAACGTTCTGAATATGTTCCTCGTATTTACTTCGAAGAAAAAATCCAACAATGCATAACTTTGAATGAGACTATTGAAATATTGCATGCTAAACTTAGGAAACTTGAGAATCTTTTGTCAATAAAGGACAGGAAGATCGAGGAGTTACAGAAAAAGATCAACTGGATTTTAATAAAGCAAAACTAAACTAGATTACTCTATACTCTATCTAAACTTTATAAATTATAATCCAAGCTCAAGGTCTTGCATCTTTGTTGGATATTTCGGCTTCTTTTGCACAACTTATCTGCTTTGTCGTCGTATTTTGTATTTCTTTTTGTGTCACCGTTGACAAACCGTATCTTTGAAATCATGTGACGTACATATGTATAATTGGTTACAGCTAAACTGTGCCTAAGTAATACACTGTTTAGCTAAACTTATTTTGTCTTATTTTTCTAAAGCTTCTGTCAGGTCATCTGTCCCTACAAAGGAAGAACATTTCGAGACTAACGACATCATGTTGTGGTTGAGTATCTTTTTGAAATTGTTTTTTCACTCTTCCTCATTGTGTTGTTTGCATACACTCCTGAAGTGTATAAAATGAATACATTTCAACATTGTTTGTGTTTTTTCTTCAGTTTTGGTAGGAAAAGCAGCTAGTTATAAGTCTTCTATTATTCTGTTGATATGACGTATTTTAACCTAAGCTTACGGGGTGCAAAGTTTCTTTCTAGGTTGAAAGCAATACTTTCTGCGAAAGCGAATTGAGACCATTTAACATATAGTTCGGTCTCATCTTCGTAGGAAGTCGGTATCATTTCTAGCCGTCCATCGTCACTCTATATGCCTCTACAGCGATGTGAGGTAACTCCATCTGTATGAGGTGGAATGTTTTTTATGCTTAACCAAAGTAGTAATAGTTGTTGCACCCCCTAGACATCACTCACAATCAACTATAGTTACTTCGAGCTATCTGCCTATTTTCTAATCTACTAAGGTATATTGCCATCTACATCGATTTTTAGTTTGGTATGTGAGGCTTTATGCAAGGATTTGCTGAAAAACGCTAAGGCTATATCTATATAATGCCCATTGCAACTCAGAAATCTCCTGATAACAATAAATTGCCAAGGTATGAATGTCTGCTTCACAGTGTTTCCATTCACAATGTCACGTATTTGTTCAAGTACATGGATAATGTTTGCAAACAAACTTTGTGACTTCAACTGCCTAGTTTTTTTCAGTTAAAAAATAATACTTCATGTGGCATTGTTGATTTTTTTGGTCCAATCGTTGTACAAATTGAATGGTAATAACTTTCGTATTTAGGTATTACTCTTAAATGAGGTCTCCATAAAATGATAATAATAAGACTAAAGTTTGCATTTCTTTATTTACGTAAATTTATATTCAAGAACCTTTGTAAAAAGCCAGAAGCTTTGTGTTAGCCAACTCGTAGATTTAAAACCTTCATTTTGGATAATGAAACATAAAGAATTGATATTTACGAGTCTACGAGTGTTCATCCTTAAGTTGTAGCACTTTTGATCTTATGCTTTGGTTGAGACTTATCCAGTTTCTATTATTTGTTGAATGCTGTCTCTTATAAGTAGGAATTTCAAATCTGCGAATGCGTTATTCTCCCAGCGTATATAAGAAATAAATATATTTGGAGTTTGTGTACTAATTCCTGATAATGAAGAAGTATATCTAAAATATTTTTCATTTTTATATAATGCGCTTTTTGAGCCTAAACACGAAGCACACATACATGCAGGGTAATATCTGACTTAAAAATCCGTTCATGTCTGATAAGCATATTATTTTGGAACTCTGAAAAGTTCTAATCGTAGGGAGCCTAGCTTAAATAGTGTAGCTAAAACAATGTTATTCAGACTGCACTGTTAACAAAGAACTTCTCTCCGTAATCTACTCAATTGTTTTGTTTGTAACAAGAACACCCTAACAACTGAGTATACTTTATAAGTTATATTAACAGTTGCCTCATAGTTTTAGAATGTCTGTTGTTGACAATTTATTCCAATTGAAAAATGAAGTAGTATTGTATAAAAGCAGGCCTTTCGTAATCTTTTAGATAAGCGGCACGATGTAGTCTGCAGTTTATCAAATATATTGGTTACTGCTATTGTCAGCAACGTGAGTTTTAGTTTTATTTGAAGAATCTGATAAAACAAAAGATTTTCCGTGAATTGTTTTCTCTGTTTTATATAAAACCCAATGTGTTGATTACCACATTGTTTTGTTCAGTAACCCTTTAAATGTTTTGCTTAGATTGCGTTCATTCTATTTAATTAATCGTATGGAGAACTTAATGTGTTGCATGAACTATATCTGAAGATTTCGAAAACCTCGCATCAACTTTGTTTCCAGACGTTTAAGCTGCTACTTGAAAACATAAAATTTCATTATTGTAGACAGTGGTTTTTCTCAGTCCTGTTATCTCACCTAATATAGCCGACTAATTATCTTTAGAGATATATTTAAATGAATCAAATACCCTGATTTTACAGTGTATATTACCTATCACCAATATGTAGACGAATCCTAAAGCCATTTTTTGTTCCGAAAACTCCTTTATTTCTCCGGAAACGTCACAATCTTCTAATGACGACATCTCTAATTAACACGAAGGATATTGATTCGAACTTTAAATAAAGTGCAAAGAGTTTCTTATCATTATTTGTAGAAGCTTTTTCCCTACGATTTCGACATACTTGCTAGAGTGTTCACTCCCTGAATATTATTGTTCGCCATTCAATCGAAGTTTAGCAACTTGATCAAGCAGTAGATACACAGAGAACTTGGAAAATTTTAATGCGCATCACATAATTGGCTACACCACAACAAATAGTTCCTAATCGAATATATCACAGTGTCGTGAAGAGTTTCATTACACTTTAAACTACTTATAATTTGGTATCGATAATAATTTTCTAAGCATTAATATACCCTTTAGCAATGAACACTCAATTATCAGTTTAAACAATTAGAAGAACACTCTTGTATAATTTGACTTTTACAATATATATATATAATGTATATATATATATATATAAACGCACATTTCTGGTGCTGTCTTTCATCGAGAAAAAAAACCCAGTAATTCATACATAATTACAGAAATTAACTACTGAAGTGATAAACATGAGGTATTTTTGTAAAACGATTCTAGTGAAAAAAAAGCAAAAGGTAATCGTAGATATTATGCAAATATTATTTAACAATCTATCGTAGTGTTGCTGTTATTGATGATGTTTTATTTGTTTCCAAACGAAACTCATCTGATAAATGTTCGCTTTAAACTCAACCTTTTGATAGGATTTTAAAAAAAAAAAGAATTTTCCTTTAAACAACACCATTCATCAGGGGAAGGTAAAACTTGACAGGAGCATAAAACAGAAATTAGTAAAAAAAAAGGAGGTAGAACGGAAAATGAGTGAATTGTTTATAGGCATCTTAACTCATTTTTGTCGGTGGATAAGATAATATAATTTAATTTTCTTGTGCATCATCAAAATAACGAAGAAGTAAAATGGAGAAAGAATTACCAGTCATTGTATGACATAGTTTGAAAGAATACAAAATGTAAATCGATGTAAGAAGAAATATACAGTACACTAATTATGGCTATACATTTTAATTAACTAGTATCCATTGTACACCAGCGTAATAATTTTTTCAAATGAACTGCTGAGAAAAGATGATCCACAAATGATGCATGTGATATAAAATTTGCTGACTGACTAGAACCATTTTCTGACTGTTGATTGATCGACCCAGAATTATTTGCTACTTCCGATTTTTGTATGGAAATTGAGCATATTTGACAATAATTTGAATCTATACTGGAAGAAGAATCTATTGGTGATATTTTCTCGGTCAATAACGATGAATTTACTGAAAAGTTATATTGTCCTGATGAAACACGGGCCATTTTCTTTTCTTTTGCACGTTGATTTTGAAACCATACTTGAACAACACGTCGTGATAAACCAATCATTTCACCTAAGCGATCGCACTCATGTACTGAAGGAGTTTTATGATAATTATATATTGAATGCATACATCTAGATTGAAGTGCTGTAATACTAGTTCTATTTCGACGCCCACCATTTGTACTAGAGGTTGTACTTGTTGATCGATAAGCATTAGATACATGTTCTGATTGAATTAAAGATGGGATTGAACGAAATTGATCTTGATTATTCACTGTAAAGTCATTATCTTCATTGTCAATTATCTGTGCATTCTGTTCAAGTATAAAAGATGAGCTATTTTGACAGTTGTTATCATCAGTAGTATTTATGATAACTGATGAAGTTGTTTTAGCACTTAAATCTAGTGGGGCTTCGTTCGAATCTAACGAAGTTTGGAAGTGTGGCATAGTTTTACTTAGTGATGCATTCATAAGTGCTGTTAGTTGACAGTGTAGTTTATTTGGATCTGCATACACTTCAGTGTTATTTAACAATCCAGGAATAGCAGATGACGGCGATGCTGATGAGAAGTAAGGGAAGTTCCATAGATTAGTTGATTTTTGTTCACTTTCACATCTTGATCGTTGCTGAACACGATTATGATTGCCAAGATGAATAAGTGCAGCAAAAACACTTTGAGGATCGTCTAACTCTGGTATCAGGGGTAATCTTGGTGACAATGGAGTTTCAGAAATAGACGGAGAACTCTCCGATGTAAGCGATGGTGGTGATTCATGTGAATTATTTGAATTGTCAGCTAGTACAAATGAATGAACATCACCATCAGTATTTTCCGTCGATGAAGCTGTTATTGTTGTCATTGTTGAATGTAAAGTTCCTTTGTAACCATAATTAACATCTGATTCTTCAATTGATACAACTGACATGGGTCTCTAACAAAAGTAAAATAAAATGAATACTGCTATAAAAAATATTAAGATTTTAGGCTTTTTAACAGTTAACCAGTAAGTCAAATTCTGCTTGAGATTCTTTCAAACAAGCCACTTGTGAACATTCAGTAGACTAAATTACATTTTGAAACAATAGAGCACTTATTTAAGGAGAAATTCTACCGAGTATTGATCACTATGAACCATGCAAAATGTCAAGTGATTGATCTATTTTAGATCTTGATAAGAGGAAAAAGCGGTTACAGTGATAAATATGTATGCATTGTTTATATACTCTGTAAATGTCAAGCTTAGTTTCATTTGTACGATATATTTTATGATTGTGTGCACTCTTTCATTTTTGAACTAAATTCTCTGTTTTAAGCACTTGATTATCATTATTATCATCGTTCGAATTCTATTAATTTCTATATTCTGAACCACCTCTTTCAATGTAATGATATGACGTGAAATGAATTATATTGACTGACAATTTTATCAAGTTCAAGGTTATCTCTAACTAACTGAAGTCAGTAAATGAAGTCTTTATATAAGTCATCACTGTATACCTATGATCCATCAAAAAGGTATATTTTGCAGTTTCCGATTTCCTATTAATTTGTACTTTATTGTTTGACATTTTTACAGGTATAAGTTGAATCGCTGGAGGTATATATTAAGCAATTAACCATGTTTATCAGTTATAATTTATAAAAGGAATAGTGACTAACTGAATAAACCAGACTCAAGGTGCCAAAATAAAATTGACTGTTAGTTTCGAAGGTAAGACAGACACAACACAGAACTTCGTACTTATGTACATCAGTTCAGGTAGCCATACCGCCTTAGCACAAAAACGCAACTGTCAGTTCAAATCCTGTAGTGGTGGAGATAGTAGAAGTATTAGCAGTAATAGAAAAGATTAGGGTATAATTCAGTGAGTTAAAGTTAGAAAGAGAAAGTTAGAGATGATGATGAATTCAGAAAGTTAGAATTTCAGGGAACAAAATGAGTGGATGCACTTACGCCACTGCAAACGATTTTGAGCCATCTCGTTGAAGGTCTCTGACTTACGTCTCGCGGACCACAACCAGGTAGCCTACAGTGATTTCATGGATTTGTGCCATGTCTTAGATTAGCCACCCCTAGCTTTCTTCTAAGCTATTCTTATACCACAAAACATAACTCGTCGAGGCAGTCAGTGGTTAGGCATACGTAACACATGTCCCAACCACCTAAACTGATGAAGAATCAATACTTCCTCTATTGATCTGCCATTCCTACCTAGTACTCGTTTGCTAACGACAGCATTGCTTATACGGTTGTCCAAAGATACACGAGCAATGCTTCGGAGACACCTATGACTGAAGATAAGAAACCTACGAATGTCCTCTATTTTCACCTGCCATGTTCTGCATCTGCTGAATAGAACGAAGCGAACTACTGAAGGGTACACTCGTCCTTTGGTTAGCAAACGGATATCCTGGCAAAAACCAATCGAGCCTTCTGTATCCGTGCTGAGATTTCCTCAGTCACCAGGCCATCAGCACTGATGAGAATCCCCAGATAAGTGAAGTGGTCTACACGCTCAACCGCTTCGCTCCCTTTTACTAATTCGGGTGCCGATGCAACCCAATTCTGAAGCAACATTTTGCATTTCGAGGGGGAGAACCGCATCCCGAACATGCTCGCATTGTTGCTTATAGTAGTCAGAAGACTCTGCATTTTGTCAGCGTCTTCACCGAATAGAACTACGTCATCAGCATATTCTAAGTCAGCAATCGTGGCTCCTGGTAAAAGGTCCACTCCTGAATAGTCAGACGATGATAATGTTAACTCTAGAAGCATATCTAGGACAAAATTAAACAAGAATGTGGAGAGTGGACATCGCTGATGGACACTACTTGAAGTAACTAATTCTGATGACAGTTCTCCATAGGCTCTCACTCGACCAGTGGTGTTCGATTAGAGAGGTTGTATAAGGTTAATGCACTTCTCTGGTACACCTTTCAATGACGGACTAGGTCAGATCCCGCTGCGAGGTCGACAAATACTACTATTGTGGGGCGTCTGAACGTGCGTCGTTGTTCTAGGACCTGATGTAGAGTAAAAATGTGGTCTATACGGCCACGCCCAGGACTGAAACCAGCATGGTTTTCTCTATTCCGCTCTTCACAAGCTTTCATTAAGCGTCAAGGTATTATTGGAGTCGAAATTTTAGATACTATTTTGGTTAGACTAATTCCCCTATGATTTTCACAAAAGGTTATTTTCCTTTCTTATAGACTTGGACAATCAGGGATTGAGACCAGCCGGATGGGATTACGTCCAGTTCCCAGATCCTACCTAAGATTTCAGTCAGTCTAACTGTTAAAACTGGACCACCATCCTTAAAAACCTTAGGAGTTAACCTATTAGGTCCTGCTGCTCTACCTTGCTTCAGATTTCCTACAGCCTTTTCAACTTCATAAAGATTCCGAGGACTTACGTCAACTTGACATTCAGGGTGACTGGAGATTGTGGGCAACCGAAGTGTGGCTGAAGGCCAGTTAACAGATTACTGAAGTGTTCTGCCTATCGATCCAGTCACGTGGATTGAGAATAAGTAATAATCCCGTCCTTTTCCGAGATAGTTTCAATCACCGTAAGAGATTACCTTGCGGTGTCATTCCTGCGTCCAGTAAGCCTCAAACAAATACAAGCTCGCACTAGGGCAAGATCTGAATCTAAACATGTACCCCAAAACGAGCGACAGTCCTCCATCGAACTCCTCCATTGGTGGCTGATGGCGATGTGATCTAGTTAGGTCGACTTTCGGGGTCGCCAGGTCAGATGTTTTTCCTTATGCCTAAAGTTAGTGTTTGCAAAAATGACGGCTATCGCCGTTATCTATTCGATCAACTGCGACACCATAAGATCTACCCAGGTGTCTTCCTTTTCACTTAGTCTACCTAATCACGCATTGAAGTAACCAGCCAATAATACTGCATCAGAGCGCCTAACGTTCTGGAGGAGGTCCGAAAGCTTTTTGTAAAACTCAACTTTCACCTCGTCTGAACTGCAGTCAGTGGGAGCGTAGGCAGATAAAACGAAGAGGCGATGGTGAGTGTTCCTATCTTAACGAGTCTTTACAGTCCCGTTTAGTCGGACAGCGCACAAGCGACAATCTACTGGGATCCAGTCTAGGAGAGCTAGTTCTGCACTAAGACTCAATGATATACCTACACCGGCGAGGCGGCCGCAAGCATCAACGGAGCTTCCAGAAACACACAGCGTAAACCAAGTTGATTCTCTATCTCGACAAGGTGTAATAAAATTAATGATTTTATTAGGATCCTTTATATGCGTTTTGGAAAAGTAGCATACATTGATGGAACGGGATTCCGTAGTCCTTGCTGATGAATTTGGTAGCCTTGTTTGACACAATGTTCGTACATCCAAAGCTCCAAAATGTAGTCTAGAATGAGGTTTCAGGAGACCAGGAATAGCTTTTCGTGAACTCGCACCGTTTGCATTAGCGGTACGGGGTGCTAAAGGAATGTGAGTAGAGTTAGCCGTGGAGATAAGGGAGATGTTAGGTGGTGTAGGAAGGACTTGATTATGACCAATTTGGTCTCGTTTTCTGTTATGGGTGTGAGGGTGGATGTCACTTCCCCGCTTCCCACACCGTGGAGGGTGTTTCTTGGGGAACTTGAAAAGGAAGGCAGATTAGTGTTGTTCTTAACGACCTGAGAGCGTGACTACAGAGTATAAGGGACAACTACTTGAGGCTGGCCGTGCAAGGCCTTTTTATGAGGTTTTTAGATTACTAGCTCCGTTCTTGTTTAAAAGGCCTTACCGCCGTAGACGGAAATGCGTGAAGCAGGGTGAGGTGTGACATTTTTAGGGTCAACTTCTTCCAACCACTTCCTTCCTTGTGAGAAGGCAGCATTGCTGAGGATGCTGGTTGTCCGAGGGAAACACCTTACTGCTGTCACACCCCTCTACAGTCAGCTGTACGACTTCGCCCTCAGACCTTGAGTAGCTGCTTTTAGTCTCATCGTTCTCTAATCGACCTGCCTGGCATGGCAGAACCTTCAGGAAAATATGTTTCAGCCAACACAGCTACGGTCGGAATTTCGAATGTCAACCAAATTCTCCAATTATAATCCCTGGACCATGTTCGAATAAAACAAAAAGAATTTTCTATTTATACAGTTTTTAATCATTGTGCAACTATACTGAGCACATAAGACCGCAGCTGGTTGATTGAATTCGTAAATAATTTTCGTCTTAATGTTAGAACATTTACTTCAATAGTAGTTGATATTACACTTGTACTTTTAACCCCCAAAAATATTTATTATTGGTGAAAATTATATCTGAAATAATCTCAGAGACTGAAATTCTGAATTTCAATGTTTAATCAAACCGTTCGTTTAAATATTGATAATTATTCATACAAACCCAAAAAAATTATTTATTTTCATTGATTTATTTCTAATCAATCGTACTGTGAAGATTTCTAGTTGAGTATTTCTTTTTAACTTTTAAAGTAAACAAGATATGTATTATCTAGTGTCTTATTAACAGTATTAAACCTGTCCTCCAATATATTTTTCTACACTCAACAATTAATCGATTATTGTCATTTGGACAAGAAAAATCATCGTTGATTGATTGGATAATATCGAATTTCTTGAAGAATCTTGTGGTTGAGTATCGGGATCAAAAAAATTTATGATATTTATCCTAAATTAATTAAATTAAACTGAAATAATGCTGTACTGTTTGAGGCGGTTTCACATAATAACTTCAGATAACTTGAAAGGATTCACCAATATCCATTGATAGACTCATCAACCAGTGAACAGTCACTACTTGAGCGAAAAACTAATGCGAACTAGAAGTAAACTAGCATTATCAGGTGTAGATAGTGAGTACCACTGGAATCCAGGAAATGCGTTTCATCCTATTTAAGACTTGCCAGCTGGATAAACTTGCAACCTCGAAGATAGTAGCTATCCCGAACTCGAAACCAGTTCGCTTTAAACGACGTTGCGTTATCCCTTCAGCTACTGAGTCCAGACAGCCATTTGCTTGAGCATTGAGTTAAATATTATTTCATTTGCATTGGCCGTTTAAATCTTCTCATTCAGGTTTAGAACTATATTTGATCAGTCTATTTGGCATATGTGCATCCAGTGGGAATTTCGTCGATATTACCTTCAGGTTACAAACATTATTAGCATTAGTAATATGTATACGGGAAGTATGACTGCAGGTAAATCAATATACAGTTCAGAAAATAAATTTCATAAATATGTCTTAATCGATTTTGAAATATGTCTACGTTTTTGATTTACGGAATCAGTATTTTTAATTTATTGGTAGGGTAGAAATTTGGGCGGCAATATTCGATTCATACCACCTACGTTGTACTCCTGGTTAATGGGGACATTTTTCCACGGACTAATGTAAACGGTTAGGTGAATAATGTGTTAATCCTCCACTCTGGCAGAATAGATGGAAATCGGGCTAATTCTCTTCTCTCTTAAATGTAGACTCTTCAGAAAGGAAAGTACTTTGGAGATGAAGGTTGTGATGTTAAAGAGAGAGTTTTCATTTTGGATTATGTCCGGATTACCTCTAGACAGAGACACTAGGCCTGGTTGAAGAAGCCTGCAAACTGTGCTGAAATCGGAGCACAAGGGTTGATACCATTCTTATTTGTGATACCAGTCTGAAAGATATAACATCAAATGACGAATTATTTGCTATTCTGATCTGGTATTTGCTATTCACTTCATGTTTTAATACCGCTGGACTACATACTGGGGTGAATGTATCTATGCGTATATGTATATTATAGTACGTAGGCTCCGGTCTACGTACCTCATCTTCACATGCAACGTATACTTGTGTACGAAAACATCTATATCTACGTGTATCGGCTTTGGTCCACTCATTTTATAAATGTATGTAAGACATACTTTTGATTAGAGGCATTATGCTTATCTGTATGTTGAGGAAACGTATGTACCTCTGGCTTGTGAATTCTGTAAATGCTTTTAGACCATCCTGGGCAGAATATTCAACTTTTCATACTGGTTTATTCATTAATGCTGAGATTTAAATAGACAATTTATAATTAAAATGTTATTTATTGTACATTGACATTAAAACTTACTTCATCATTTACATTAGAATCTTGATACTCTTTCTGCAGTCGTATGCGTTTGTTTTGGGCAACCCATTTCGTTTGATCATTATCTTTCAAAGATGATTCAGTTTCAGAAGATCTTTTAACTGCTGAAGTTAAAGGTTTTGTTGGGGAATTCAACGATTCAATGTTTGTATTTTCATCTTCAATAGATTTTTCTATATTGCATGAACCATCATTGATTTTTTCATTTGTTTGCATGTTAGACGAATTTGTCAATTTATCCTTGTTATTCATAATTAACAAATTTTGTGAGTACGTATCAACTTGTAAATTATTATTTTTCTGTTTATCAGCTTGTTCTTGGCTTGAATAATGTTGTTTATGCTGTTGTTTAATTGAATGAGTAGAATGAACTTCAATTCGACCAGTTTTTTCGTATTCTTCTAAATTTAAACTTGTACTTGGTGGTATGGCAAAATTATATGGATTATCCTTATTTTTTTGTCTTTCTTTAAATAATGTATTACGAAACCAATGTTTCACAACTTTCTCTTGTAAACCAGTTTTAATACAGATTTCATGAATTTTTTCATCTGATGGTGAATTACTGATATCGAAATATGAACGTAAAATATTTAATTGTGATTCACTTAGACGTGTACGACTTCGTTTTTGTGATGAAGATGAGGCAGTTTGTTGTTCATATTGCTCTAATAATTTATGTTGTTCCTGTTGAGTAGTTAAATATAATTTATGTAAAAGATTTGTAGAACTATTTAAACTATAATCTTTTATAGAATTTGAAAAAGCTTCATTTAATGGCAATGGCATTTTATTATCTTTATCCGGTATATTAACATTCTCACTGGATTCATTTTTATTAGTTGAAGTATAATTTAATAATAAATTGGAGTTATTAAAACAAACATTTTTGGTCAACGTTCCAATTAAATCATTTACTATTGGATTTTTGGAGTCTTTGTGAAGTAAGTTTACTTGATCAAAGCTAACCATTGATGAAGACAATGCAGTATTTGTGTCACATATACTACTTATATCATTACTAGTAATACTGCTGTCATTAGTGTAATTCTTAGTTGACAGATTATGCTCTGCAATAAATGATGCACACGAATCAGTATTATTCAATTCAACCTCATTTGTTCGCAGCAGAAATGTTGGCATAGTTTGATAATTATCTGGTTGTATATGTTTCAAATTCATTGATAATAGATTTGGGGAACTCGACGTAATGTATGGTTGTAACTTACAATGATTTTCTAAACCTGAATGAAATAAACTGGACAAGGTAGAATTGGAAATAAGAGCATTGAATTTTTCAACTAATTTGTCTACAACTGAATTAGTTAAAGTAACATTTACAGAGTTATCAGTATGATCAGTTGTTTCTTTAGAGTGTTGTAGATCTATATGTAATTCCAAACTGGATTCTAATAGAAAACGACATGATTTAGTTTGACACTTTCTGTTTTCCATATCGCCATTACTGTTGTCATTGTCAACAACATCATCATCATCATCATTGTTATCGTTAGAACAATAAGTACACAAATTGCCTTCTTGTTCTTGCAATTTACGTAAACGATCTAATTTAAACCAATGATTATTTAACTTTTCATAAATGCTACCATAATATACTTTATCATTTACAATTAACTCTAAAGTGAAAGCTAATAACTTCTCTGAATAACATTTATCATTTTGCATATTTGAATAACTGTCACAAGTCATTAATTCAAATGATTGTTTTAATAAACTATGCAAATTAGGTAGCATATTAATTTCAATGAAAAAATCATTGGTTGATAGTCTCTTACGATTAACCGGTGAATCAATATCATTGATTTGTTTTGGCGGTAAATCTGATGATGATTTTGAAATGGCATTTAACGATGTGAGTGTAAAAGCAGAAGAAGGAGATGGTGATGAAATCGAAGTGGATGTCGACATGGATTCAGTAATTTTAGTCACATTCATTGAGGCGAGTTGTGTGATTACTGACGGATTAGGTACAAACAATTCCATTGATTGTGCATAATTATAATTTTCAGAGATTTGTTTATAATGAGCTGTCATTTGTGTAAATAATTCCATAGGTGTTATAGATGTACCGTATATATTAAAATTAGGCATAGGCAATGACATATTTGATGAAATATTCGATGTATTTGAAGTGGTTAAATTTTGTTCAGATTTTCTCCATTCATCGGATATATGTAATTCATTAGGTAAAAATAAACGGCTAGCAGAGACATTATCTTCAATTGTACAATTAGATGAGAGAAATGCATTAGCTGTCATAATATTTTTATATCTAAAACAAAGAAAGAACATGGTCAGACAGTTTTTGGGATAACTAAAACTTTCACTTGGAGCTTTGGAGATTTGTGTTTTTTACACATCTGAAATCATCAATCAATCAATCATTGTTAGACCACCATCAGAAAACTGGAAGCATTGAACGGCCGTTGCGTTGTGGCATGGAACTCATCAGCAGTGCGCATCCACGACTCCTGCATCGCCCAGGATTCGAACCCGGGACCTTCGTTATTATGCGCGAACGCCTAACCATCAGACCACTGGGCCGGCATCTAGGGATTTTTCGCGACCTCACCCATTTGTCTTTGGTAGTTACTGCCTACACCCGACAGGGTTGAACTCCATTATGTGTAAAAGCACAAATCTCCAAAGCTTTGACTGAAAATATCGTAACAATGCTCACTAGTGACTAGCTTCGTGAGGAAATTCTCGGAGATCGAGTGCGAAGACGTGACCAGTGCAGTGATTGATTATTTCAAATGTGTAATAAACAAAACTGTTTAAGCGCTAATTTATTTGGATTTTTGCAATGATTCCATTCCATATGATTAAATCGATTAGACAAACAATACTGTATGATATGATTAATTTGTATTAGTTGAGAACAAAGATTTGTTAATAGTTATTTTGTCAGATTATATCTGACTTCTAATAGTTTAAATAATGATCCTTAATCGTTTTGTGTTCAGTTTACTGAGTAGCTTATGATATACCCATAGAAAAATATCATTAAGTGAATTTTTCATCAAACTGTTTTAAGTATCATGGATTTTGTTCATTAATTAATTAACTTTTATGTAATAAGTCAAAAGTTAAAATTTCAATTCATCTAATAAAATGTGAAAAAAATGTTAGTAACATTAATTTTGATGTGAAAATTTATTGAACTGAAGTACATGACGTTTTGTTACACTCTAGACGAATATCATATCAATGTAAGATTTAGAATTTTGATATGAATTTTATATTTAAAAATTTTTTTTTTGATTTATTTGCTAACTTACTTATTTATAATGGTGTCTAAATGATTATAGCTAAAATGTTGTACAGAAGATATGGATAGAATAATTGTAAATAAATTCAAAAGTAAACCAGTTATCAATTCATACAACAGTTTATAATTTATTAAGCTTTAATTAGAAGACCTATTTCATGATGACTAGTGAAGTATTTCGAATTGTTTTGAATATCTTGCAAGAAATCCTAACTTATATACAATAGGCATAATTGGTAAGTGAACACATAGAAGTGTAAATGGTTTATAAGTACACCTATCTATTCTGGCACAATATGGAAGATCAGTTAATAATGTTAATTCAAATGGGAAGAATTGACTAAAAGATACTGGTTCTAAAAATAGTTTGAATCAATAGAAATGTCATTCAGAGTATTTTAAGAAGAACAACTGTATTTTCATTTCATTATAAAATAATATGTTCATTATTACCCTGTCCATGATTTTACTGTTAATGATAGCTATTTCATAGATTGATATCAGTCGGGTTTCATTAGTTATCTTGACTTTTTTTCCTAATTAACGTGTAAATTACAGTCACTGATTGCTCTTCTTGGATCAGTCACCTTCTAGCCAGGTTAGAAGCTCATTGAATTTCCTTGTTGTCGGTGTTAAGCGCTGCAACTGATCCGTCTCTCTTGAAATATTGCCTTGATACTGATATCAATCACTAAGTAGATAACAAGTTGACATACAAACCACAAGGCTTGAGTTCAAGTCCCATAATGAACAGGTACACCTAGCTAACTAGTTAGAAATAAAACAAAATGCAAATCCAAGATTTCATCGCTCACCAACTGTGGTGAGAAACCTACTTGCCCATAAATGTACATAGTGGATATATCATGTTTATCAGTCATTCATACTTACTGCTGATACCACACATATGTATTTTAACAATATTAAATTACCCCTAACAGATTAAAATACAATTGTAGATAGTAGAACATATGTAGAATTATGCCTTAATGAAGAAAATATATTAAAATGGAATAACAAAGAACAGATAATAAATAAATAGGAAGGTGGAATATGCCAAACAAACAAGAAATGAATGAGATTACTTTTCTCTTTACTGATTATTTTAAATCATTTGATTGTTGTTGTTGTTCGTAAATTCAATAAACTAACGGTATATATATATATATACATGTTCAAAATAGCTACACATGATTAAATCAAGCTGATACTTGTAGTGCAAAAACAAAACGGGACATGACAATAATCAGAATAATGATAATGACAAAAAATGCTCATATTATTATTACTATTATTATTATTATTATTATTATTATTATTATTATTACTGTTATTTATATGAATGTTGAATGTTTTAGGGAGAGGCAATAATAATAATAATAATAATAATAGAAATAATAATGACACATATTATTCTCAGTCTATGAAAGTGTTGATAGAGTTAACGATCACTGTTCCAATTACTTATTCAACAGACCATGTATATATTTTCGGTATTATGTTACTAATGATTATTATTATTATTATTATCATGATTATTTATTACGACTAAATGCCTTGAGGTGTTTCATTTATTCGTTGAATGACATTTTATGTATTACACATATTGTTAGTCATGAAAATAAGAACAAGTGAAAAATGCATGATATTTTTTTTGTTGTTTAAATTGTGATCTCATCCAATTTCAATAATTTAGTCAAAATGTTGATCATGAAATCTTTCAAATTATGTTAATAAAAATAAAAAAACAATTATATTAAATATAAATATTTATTTATTTGTTTAAATAATGACTACAATAAATACTGATACAATCTAATCAAATGTACATCTTATTAGGCAGAAATGGATTATGGTTAGCGATAGAATCCAGGGCATTTCATTTCATTCAACTTGTGATGTCTCCACTAAATGTATCTGTACTCGTGTATTTTATAGACAAAGAGTAAACTTAAATCATGATAAAGTAAGTGGAATTCATACCGACTTCACTGCTTTCTAGATTCAGTGGGTAGCTAACACATTAAAATGTGTTGAAGATATTTGGTTTAAGTCTCGATATGCTCTGTGTCAGGTACTTATGCATTTTATAGAATTAGTGAAAAATTGAGTAGTGAATAGTTACTACATCTATCTTTGAAGAATGTGTAAATCGACTGAAGTTCGAAACATGGAATAATGGATTCTGTTTGTGTAAATTGTATAGAATTGTAATAACAATCGAGATTAAAATAAAACGATATAAGGTTTGATTGATTTCAGTAGTGTCCACTATCATTGAGGAGTTTCAAACAATTAACACCTTGTGGTTTTTAGTAATTTATTCGTATCACTTTAAAATAAAACTTATAATTACCAAACTGGATAAATCCATTAAAAAAATGCTATAGCTCTAAGGGTTCAACTATTTTAAACCATTTCTCAGTAATAAACGAAATAAAATTTAACATAAGTTGTTACATGTCACACCAAAGGCTTTTAAGAAATTAACTAATGCGACGTTATGCATGAAATTTAAATTGCGAAGAAAAAATTCCAACATTTGTATTCAGTTACTACAAAATTCAAGTTATTGCGAGAGCCAGATGTAGATCAGTAATAAAGTCATGTGTACTGTTACAACTTTTAAAGTGGATTACGATATCAGTATACAACTTCAGTGGATCTGTGTTATTTTAGATTGATTTAAACCTGAATATTTATGCACCTCACAAATTAATGAATTTGTGAGTGAGCAAGGATAATGTTCATCTGCTAAAACAGAAGATGGATTTCTTGATGGTCCACTCATTGAGACTTTGACCCAGAGACCTAATCAGTAAGGCGATAGAATTACGTCAGATGTAATTGCATAGACCAACAATAGGTAAATGCGACATTTATTCACTTAGGATTCTAAGGCCCTTTCTCACCACCGATTTGGAGGAATCAGAGTTTTTCAACTCCCCTAGGTGGATTGTCCATACCCATCATCCCGATTGATGCACAAAATATTTGGTTTTTGCCCTCTAAATATTGTAAACAATATTTTGGCATGAGAAGTCAGTCATTTGGATTTCCCTGACAGTGACTATACACGCTTAGCCATAGGAGAACATTTCGAGGGGGTCAGTGGACTCTCCTCAAACTTGGTCTTAGCGAGGGGTTAGGGATTAGTGCAGAAAGCTATTGTCAGGTGGTATCACATTCTATAACCAATCAACTACAAACTTATTATTTTTTTATGAATCAAAAGTCATAGAATCAAATATTTTCGTGTAATTTATAAGCGATGAAAAGTTGACTATTTTTAAACTGTGAAAACAATTTCTACGTAAATTTAAGCTCATACACTTCAGACAATTAATTAGAAAACTTGAAATTCTGCATTTTAACCAGTAAGCCAACTCATCAAGATAAAATAAGCATATCATTATAAGTGACATGAAAATGAGGAGTCGTTTTAGAGAAGTGATTTTGGAAAATCATACTATCAGTCATGACATCGTGGAGTCTGGATCGGATTAGATTGTAGTCCCACATTATATGAACACAGTATGACTGTGTTTCGTGAAATCGATTGAGAATGAATAACAGAAGTTATTGTGTTTATGATAAGAAAACGCAGAAAATAAATGTCTAATGTGAAAGCTTATGATTTCAAAAACAGACGTTCAATCTACATGAGTCATTCTTCCCAGCTCTAAACCAAGCTACCTAAGATATTCATCTACTGGTCAGATTGAACATGCGCACCTCAACTAGTCGGTTTTCACATTCTCACGCAAATGAGATCAATAATCACTGATTTTATGGATTGACACTAAGTTGTGGTTTGTCTAATTTTGTTAAACCTATTCTATCACTAGTCACTTTGGGGTATCAGTGTAATCGATGTTAAAATAAAAGCGTAATGTGTGTGTTCTAACAAATTCAGTCAATCAAAGTACACAGTATCATCATCTGCAGCATCAAATAAACTATAATATCTACCCGTTACTCTGACCTGACAAAGAAAAACA